TCATAGGTCTGTTCCCTGAGTATCTAGCAATATTTTGTGTGTCTCTCAGATTATGATACAGAAAATACAATCAGAGTATTTTCTTAACTCTTAACATTGTCATTTATAGTTTATTGTCCATACATTTGTGAGCGATTCTGGAATCAGGTTAGTAGAGGTCAGGCTGTTAGTTTCAGATTTCCTCTGAGGAGACACGGACAGTTGAGAGGTAAGAGCAGAATGGTGATTTGTCTCGTTTCCCCCCATTTCTCCAGCAGCTTTAACTTTATCTGAACATACCCATCCTTACTATTATCTCCAATCTCTAACTGAATCCAGTGAGAAAACGTTTGCCTTTTGAATATTGTTTGGTCATATTTTAGGTGAATTCTGTATTAATTTATAGTAATCCCAACAGATCCACTTTACCTGTGTATTAAAATTCCACTATTTCTTGGAGGATCAAGTTATACACACACATAAACACACACGTTACACACGCACACACACACATACACACACACACATGCATCCTCATGGGTATGTCCCAAAGTTTAATTTAGGGAAAGAAATGTGTGTGTGGGAGGGAGATAATCTCTGATATTTTTAACTTAAAGGTAATATATATGTAAGTATATTAAGTAATAATAAAATTATCCGAAAGAGGCAGTCCTGTTTATTTTTCATTTAGGAAATGTACTTTATGCCATGTTATTCCAAGACTCTAAAGTTTGTTTCCATCTTTTATGATTTAATATCCGTTGAATTAGATATATGATCTTAATAAATAGTGTCATTTTCCTCTGACATAATTACAAATTAATGTATTAGTCAGAAGTAATTTTATTTTCTATCACAATCATTAGTAGCACAACTGAGCTGCTCGGTGAACACAGAGAAAATAAAGAAATTATTTTATTTATCTTCTTTGTTATATACTGGTTTGGTTTATTTCTTGATGTTTATTAAATACATATTACTTTAAAAACACGGTGGTAATAAAAGCTATATACTAAGGCTTTATTTGAAGTAGAGTTCCACCTGCTTATCTGTTAAAAAAGGATGTATAAAAATTATTGTGTTTTTGTGTCTGAAAACTTCCAGAGTTCTCAATGCTAATGTCCCCCTCTAAGAGTCAGATGACTTTTCATCTAAATTTCTTAAGACTTTCTAATGTCTCCAGCTTAACTCCAGGACTGTTACCATGCTAGATATTTCTGCTGTGCAAGTATCATTCATTATCATGATAATCTTACAAAAGTCTACTTTTAAAATAGCTCTATTGAAATATATTTCACATACCATAAAATTCACACATAAAGATGTCCAGTTCAGTGGTTTTTGGTGTGTTTATAGAGTTGTCCAACTAGCTCCACTATCTGATTTGAGGACACACCCATTTACATTAGCATCCCTATTCCTACTTGTCCCTTCCTCAGCCCCAGACAACTACCAATCTACTTTCTGTCTCTCTATGGATTTGCTTATTCTGGCCATTTCATATAAATGGGCTGAAACAGTATGTGGTCTTTTGTGACTGGCTTCTTTTACTTCAAAGAATTTTTCAAGGCCATCCCTGTAGTATGTGTCAGCACTGCATTTCTTTTACTAATACCCCATTGCTTGTGTATACCACATTTTGTTTATCCATTCATCAGTTGATGAGCATTTAGGCTGTTGGCATGTTTTGTCTATATTATTCATGACATTTATGCACAAGTTTTTTGTTGACATGTTTTTCAGTCTTGAATATATTGCTAGAAATGGAACTGCTAGGTCATATGGCAACTCTACATTTAGCATTTTGAGGAACTGCCGAACTCTTTCCTAAAGTGGTGGGTCCATTTTATATACCCCCAGCAATGTATAAGGGTTCCAGTTTCTCCACATCCTTGTCCACACTTAGTTGTTGTGTCTTTTTTAATTTTAGCCATCCTGGTGAGTGTGAAATAGTATCACATTGTGGTTTCGATTTGCACTTCTCTAAGGACCGATAGTATTGGGCATCTTTTCACGTGCTTATGGGTAAAACCCTCCTTTTGATGTCTGCACACAGACTGAGCCAAAAAGTCTCATTGTGTTCAAATGTAGTTTTGAATATTTCCCCCTGTTTGGAGGATGTTTTGGTAGAGAACAAAGAAGGAAACCAAAGAAGTTTACTAACTCCAATTTAGTTGCAAAGTTAGCCCAACATCTTTGCTCCCCATTTTACAAAAGAGTGCTAGGAATACCGGTGGTGACTTCCTGGTGGTGCCTGGGGGAAAACAGCTACTTAAAGCTTTTTAATCTTATCAGAGTAAATTGTAAAGTGAGTTGAGTGTGCTTAATTTTGATGCTTCTAGACTACTATTACATGTTTTTTTCCTCCCTTTTGGAGAGACCCTTTTTTCCCTTTTTTCAGTTCTCCTGATGCCATACTTCCCTTACGACCCTCTATTAAGCTTGTTTTCAGGGCAGGAGCTAAAATGCATAGACACTAAGAAGTACACAGTAGAAAAAAATCTTATTGTATATCTTTCCCAAGATTATTTTTGGAGACTGAAGTGAATAAAGAACTGAAGTTCTTAGTAAGAAATTAAAGCAACACCAAAAGATGATTTTCTTTGAGTAACTTTAAATATCATTTGAGACTCTTTCAGTTGCGTATGACTGAAAACAACACCCAGAATATCTTAACAAAGGTAGTGTACTGGCTCCCATAAGCTGAGAGGACTGTAATGGTAGCACTAAGATCCATATCTCAGTTGCGTCCTGTGGATTGACTCCATTCTCATGATTCTTGGCATGATTCCTGGAATCTTTCAGGTCACATCATCACACCACTCAGTTTAGGAAAATAGATTGCTTCCCTGATACCCTAAGCCAAAGTCTCAGAATTGAGTTTCTTTGGCCCCAGTGGGCCTGACCTGAGACACAGGCTCATCCCTGGATCAATGACTGTGGCCAGCATGATGGAGCTGCCATTGGCTTAGCTTAGCACACGGGGTCTCCCCTGGATCCTGGTTGGAGTCACTTCACTGGAAGCATCTGAGGTGAAGCAAGGCGTGGTAAAGGAAGGGAATGAATAGAGATGTGTGGCATGAGGAATGACTACTGTTTGCTCAAACCGCAGACCACCAGCAGAGTCTTTCTTTCAAAGGGCAGTTCTAGAAAGGACATCAAAATGTGATCCAGGACAACGGTTGTCACGCTTTAGGATATGTATTAGTTTGCTAAGGTTTTTCTATCCCATCATTGTATTTTAGAAGCAGAGAACTTGTTTGGTTTCACAGGTTCACAGATGGAGAGGAATTCTGCTCCAGGATGAATCATTGCCTGAGTCCTCCTACCAGTCTCTGATTTATATGATATTTGGATGAGATTTGGGTGTTGGAATGGGTTAAGACTTTTAGAGATGTTGGAATGAGTGTATTTTGCGTGTGAGAGGGACACAAATTTTGGAAGATTAGAGGGTGTACTATTATGGGTTCAGTTATGTCCCTCCAAAATTTCTGTGTTGAAGTCCTATCGCTGCTACCTCAAAATGTGGCCTTATTAGGAAATAGGGTGTGTTTTGTAGCTGTAATTAGTCAAGATGAGGTCAGTAGGGTGGGCCCCTAAACCAATATGACTGGCATCTATAAAAGGGGGAAATCTGGGCACAGAGACCTGCACACAGGTAGTACACCATGTAGGGATTAGCGTTCCAGGGCCACAAGCCAAGGAACCACCAGCAGCTAGGAGAGAGGCCTGAAAAAGATTTTCCCTAGTGCCTTCAAAGGAAACCTGGCCCTGTCAAAGTACCCCAAACTGAGTGGCTTAGACAATAAAAATTTGTGTCTCACAGATTTGGAGACTAGAAGTCTAAGATCAAGTTGTCAGGAGAGCCTTGTTTTAGGACCACAGTGTCAAATGTTCTCTCCTTGATTAACTGGGTTTATTGTTATGTATTTATTTTAATAGAAGAGACAAAAGTGTCTGAAGATGATGAAATGGAGAAGCTCTACAAATCATTAGAGCAAGCTAGCCTGTCTCCTCTTGGGGACCGACGGCCTTCAACCAAAAAGGAGTTGAGAAAATCCTTTGTTAAGCGGTGCAAAAATCCATCCATAAATGAGAAACTCCACAAAATCCGAACTTTGAATAGCACATTAAAGGTAAGACATTTCAGTTAGTGGGTGAACTCTGTAGATGTGGGGCGAGAAGATGCTGGTTCTGTAGAATGATTCATACTGACCACATGAACCATTTGCGTTTGTGTGGGTGGAAAGTAGGGGAGAGCAGAAAAGCCGATACCATCTCTCTAAGGTGAGTTGACCCTTGACATTCTTAAAGCACTAGGACACTCACACAGTAGCACCCAAAGCAGTGTTCTACAGTAGGCCTTGATTTTTGCATTCACTCTGGCATAAAACTTTAAATATTAAGCTCCTAGACAACAAGATCAGGTATAACTTGTTTCTGAGTCTTTCTACCTAGCATAATTGATGTTGGTGGGAGCCCGAGACAGTCAAGTGGTGAGAATACACAGTAATATTTAATAAGATCTTGGAATTTCATTGAATTCGTTAAAGGCTGCCATTGTTCTATAATCTATCCAGAAGAAAATTTCTGTATTTCAGACACAGCAGAGACTTAGTGATTCTAAGCTGTTGGCTCTGGAGCCAAGAAGTGCCATGCGAGCTGAGCATTGGGAAATATACATTTCATGGCAGTAGACCAGGAGAGGTTTTTACAGTGAGAAAGAGGGACAGTATACAGGAGGTGGTGAAGCTGTTTTCAGGGTCTCCTGTAGCTAAAATGGTTCTTCACAACAAAAGCAACCTGCTTTCACATGTGGATTGTAGCACGAACAAGTGAAGGCCAGGATACTTTGTAAAATAGTCTTGAATTAATAGAAGATGCATAGATTCTAAAAAGGTTTGATAGATCCTGCAGTTTAAGTCTGTTTTGTACATGTCCTTTTGCATAGTGAATTTGAATCCCTTTCCAGGATGACCTATCAGTCATCAAAAGAACAAGGTGACAAAAGATGGCTGAGGGATTCTTAATCAGACATCCCAGTTAGTTGGTAGAAGACCTGAAAGCCTTGCGAAAATAAGGCTGAAAAATAAAAGGAAAGGTGTATTTCACTTATACTAAGAAAATCCAGATTTAGAGGAAATTCCCTAGTCTGAATGATGAAAGTCATCACTAGCACTCATTTCAAAGGCAAATATGTCATATTCTACAGTATTTACAAAGTTGATGAACATTTTTGGTCCCCCGATGTAATACGCCATAGTATGCTGGGATTTTGCTGTCTTACTTGTGATAACTGATATGAGTGAATACATTTGTTAGTGAACAAATATTTCCTGAATCTTACTATGTACGAGGCACTATTCTGGAACCCTGGGACAACTGAGTAGACCCCACTGGACAATGGAAATACAAAGGAAAACAGTTGGAATGAGATATGATAGGTGCTCTAGTTGATAGCAGCTTGGGGTGCTTTGGTGGCCCAGAGGAGGGAAGCAGCTGTCTACCTGAGGCCGTTTGGGACGATGCCACGAAGATGCTGACACTGGACCTTGGTAAGAGATGAAGAACGTCAGGAAGAGAAGGAAGTGCATTCAGGGAGGAGGAGCTGGCCCAGGCAGATGTATATCAGTGGGTGAGATGTTGTAGCCCACGTTGGGAGAAATAGGAGATGAGGCAAAGGCGAGCATGGACACTTCAGGCTACTTCTAGAAAGAGAAAGAGGGTGATCTCAGCTTTCCAAAGAGCAGCAATCTCAGGGTTTGGGTGAGACCTTCACAGGACCATGCCCTGGGGCTTGGCCAGCGGGAGCACAGGTTTGTGCAAAGAATTCAAAGGTTTTACTGGCCTAGATAGCTCTCCGTGAGCCTTGTTCTCCATGCACTGTGGCCACAGAGTTGACAAATTCAGCAGCTTTTTCTTTTCTTCCCGGGTGTTAGTCATCTATTGCTAGGTAACAGAATACCCCCAAACTTAGCAACTACAGGCAATAAACATTTCTGGTTTCACTGTTTCTGTGAGTCAGGGATTTGGGCTTGGCGTGGTTAGGGGCTTCTGCCTCCATGTCTCTCCGAAGGCTGCAATCCAGGCATCAGCTGGGGCTGCATTCCGTCCTCCGCGGGGGAGGGTGTGCTTCCAGGCTCCCTTATGTGGTTGTTGGCAGGGTTCAGTTCCTCGCAGGTTGTTGGACTGAGGGTATCAGTTGTTCACACTCTGTTGGCTGGAGGCCACTCCCATTCTTTGCCTTGTGATCCTCTTCATGGTTCAGCTCCCAAAATACAAGCTGGCTTCCTCAGAGCGAGTGAGGCAGTGAGCGTGAGTGAGCAGGATGGGTCATACCCAGTCTCAGCAGTGATGTCACGTTGCAGTTACAGTATCATACGCATTAGGAGCAAGTCCCTAGGTCAGCCTAGCTACCTACAGTCAAGGAGGGGAATTACAGAAGGGCATGAATACCAGGGAGCAGGCAGCATTGGAGCCATCTCAGGGGCTGTCTACCCCACCCAGCAGAACTCCTGGGCATTCCTGGGAAGAAGACCTTTCCACAGATCCCTTAGGCTGGGGCGTATGAAACCTACCCCATGTTATGTATTCCTGTGACTCTCCCAGGAAGTTAATGATGACGTGGAAATTGACCTTGCTGAAAAGAAGAGGAAAGCACGTCAACCTGTTCATTAGAGAAAGATCATTTGGTACATGCATGTTTATTCATGTCCAAAAGCTGTAAAAATTATTTTATTTTTACCCTCTTTAATTTAATTTAAATTGTCTTTAAAACTCAAAGCAGACAGGATAGTGGTCTCCTCTGAGGAGGAGGGTAAGATGTGATTGAGAGGGACCACAAATAAAGCTTCTGAGATGCTGGGCAAGAGTCCTTTTTTGATCTTGGCGGTGATCGCACAGATGTGTTCATTCTGTGGTAATTCCATCGAGCACAAACCTTATTATAGGTGTGCTTTTCTCTGTGTATGTTATGTTGCCGTATAAAGTTTTACTTAAAAAATACTTCAAAGCTGGAGTATGGATGAGCAAAAAGAATAGAGTTTTATGCAGAAACAAGGAAGCTCTTTCAGCAGTAACGATTATATTGGTGATAGGCGCATTCCAGAAATTAAAAAAAAAATCCTCACACCAGGATTTTATTAGAATGAGTGCTCTTTGGGGAAATTCTTCTAGGAAGTTGAACAAACTGCCCTATCACACACTGAAGGTAGATCTTCAGGAATTTCTGATAGCTCCCCATCCCCCGACTTTAGGCTCAGCCTGTCTTGATTTAAAAAAGGAATGGTTAATGGGTCCAACTGAAACCTTCTTCCGGGGTTCCTCTCACCTACCTCAAAAGAGGAACAAGCTCTCCTTTGCCAGTTGCTCTGGTGGAACACATTTCCAGTGCTTAGGTCTTGAGTTGAGCCGTATTTTGAATATTTGGAGTGAAAAATTAAACTATGGTATATTTTGCAACCCCTACCAGCCCCTGCCTGCCTGCCTGCCAGAAAGCCAGGAGGATGTTGTAAAAGTAGTTCAAAGCATTCGGTGAGCCGCGTGCTCCATGGGGGAGAAGCAGGGCCATTGCGTGGTGCTGTTGACCTCACTGTCTCAGTTTAGGAAGGAACCTAGAGGGTTTTGTTGTTACATTAATTTCCTTCCTCTCTATTCTTATCTGCAGTTTTTTTTCTTTTATCCATAAAAGAACTAACACAGACTTGAGCCAAATGGTAAGAAATTTGAGTTGTTTAGAGCTAAACACCACATGAGAAATGTTAGCCCAAAGTTGAAGAGACCCTTTCCTAAAACTTTTAACTGATTTAGAGTGGTGGTTGATTCGTTTTTGCCTTTAAAAAATCAGTTTTCCAAAATTTTGTTAGTCTGCAAAGATCTTATTTAGTTTTTTTCAATAAAATATTAGGACAGATGTCAAATTTTCTTAAGAACAAAACTCCTTAACTTCATGTGAATAGCACTCTGGTAATATTAGAGAATGAAAGCATTTTATTTTATTTTTTTTAAAGATTTGAAGTATCGGTGCTGAGAACTCAGAGAGAAAAGGAGAAACTCTCTTGGTCCTTCTTGACTTTCTGCCAGTAATCCTTCCTAGTTACCCACATACTTATTAACCTTTCATTCCTCTGCTTCTGGGACCCGACCACCTGCTTGTCCTCCCTTTCTGTTTTTGTTCCTACTGTACAATTTCTCTCTCCTTCTTGAAACCCAAATGTATCTTTTGTCCCCCATCCATCACCACATCCTTGCTCTCTTGATTCAGAATGATAAATCTCACCACCCAGGGGACTATATGTGTGGTACTTTTCCCTTGAAATCCATATTATTCTGACCAGTTTAGAAACAGGAAAAGAAGAAAACAAGAAAATGTAATGACACACCCCAAGTAAAACATGAGTTAAAGCAAATTGTAGAGTACAAACAATACATTTGTGTGCTGCTAGTGTCTGCAATCACCCATGACCAGATGCCTCATTTGGGTAGAGTAAGAGCTGCCAATTCTTAGAATCCCCTAAACAATGTGTGTATATATCAAATGTGTGTATATATATATATATGTATCTATCTATATATCTCTAATATGAAATATATATTATGTAGATATAATATACATACTATATATATAGTATGTTTATATATATATGTAAATAATTTTGCTTGTTTGTTTATGGAGAGGATTTCCTCAGGCTCTAAATAGGGTTCATGATGCACAAGAGATGAAAAGGCAAATGGGTGTTTAGTTCTTTCATCCATTTCTTATTTCATATATTCATTTTCTTTAACAAGTATCAGTGAATGTCTGCTATGTGTCAGTCATTATTTCAGACTCTTGGGTATACATGAGACAAAACTGCTTGACTTCATGAAGCTTACCTTAGGTAGAAAAAGAAATAAACCAAATAAATAAGTAAAATTTATCGTATGCTAAATGGTGATAGGTTTGGGTAGAGAAGAGAAGGGATAAGGAATGCAGAGGGATGGATTTCTAATTAGGATTGACATGAAAATCCTCTTTAAAAGATGGGATTTGAGTAAAATCTGAAAAAGGAAAGGGAGTGAGCCTTCAGGCTATCTGAGGCAGAATGTTTCAGGTAGAAGGAACAAAAACACATGTTCCTTGGGGTGGGAGTGTACTTGACCTGCTTAAGGAAGAGCGAGGAGGTCAGTGTGGCTGGAGTGTAGTGAGGGATGGGAAGCAGGGAGAAGAGCAGTGAGTCAGAGGGGCAGCAGGGGGTCATAGCCTGCAATGCCTTATTGCCGTTGCAAACACTGCGGCTCCAACTCACAATGAGAGAAGAAGCCTTTAGGAAGTTCTAAGTCAAGCTGTGCCATGGCTTGACACATTTTGAAGGTAGGACCATCAGGATTTGCTAGTGGATTGGGAGTAAGAGAAGGAGTCAAGGAGGAGTCCAGTGTTTGGCGTGAGTAGCTGGAAATATGGAGTTGCTATGAGGTGCTTTGAGGATGATGATAGTGGGACAGGTTTCAGTGTGTATTGGGAGTGGGGGTGGTATTGAGAATAACAGGAAGTTTGTTTTGGACATGTTACATTGGAGATGCCCATAAGATGTCCAAGTGGGGATGCTTAAGAGGAAGTTTAGACAAACAAGTATGGAGTTCAGGTAAGATGTAAGGCTGGAAAAATAAGTTTGGGACCCTCAGTGTGTAGGGAGAGTGGGAGAGAGTACATTAGATTACCAAGAGCATGAATGTAGACAAAACAGAGACGAGGTTAAAGCCGGAGCTCTGGGGCACTCCAGTGTTGAGCAGTTGGCCATAAGGAGGAACCACAAAGGAGGGTGAGAATAAGTGGCCACTGTGAGATGAGAAAAATTAGGAAAATGTGTCACAGAAGCAACATGACAAAAGTGTTCAAGAAATAGTAGTCAACAGTTTTAGATGCTGTTGATAAATAAAAGTTGAAGATAAATCATTGAGTATTGGATTTAGCAACATGGTGGTCATTGATGGCCTTGACGTGAGCAGTTTTGGTGGAATGATGGGGGCTGAAACTGATGGGAGTGGGTCTGTGGAGGAATGGGCACAAGGACATTGGAGACAGAGAAAAATAGAGCGTTAGCTGGAATAGGGAAGTGGGGTCAAGAGAGGGCTTTTAAGATGGAAGAAATAAGAGCATGTCTGTAGGCCAGTGAGAACTGTCATGTGGGGAGGAAAATTGATAAGTTGCAGGAAAAAGGGGAGAATTACTGGAGTGAATTTCTTGAATACGAGACAGGAAGTGCCCACACAAGTGGAGAGACTGATGTTTACCAGGAGCACAGATATTTCATCCAAATGAACAGGAAGGTAGGCAGCATAGATTTGTGCTGATGTAGGTAATGGGCAAACGGACAACTACTCTTCTGACTGTTTCCATTTCCTCAAAAAAAAAAAATAGAGACAGCAGGGTCATCAGCTATAAGGGAAGTTTGGGGGAGGAGATTTGAGTAGAAATGAGAAGTTTTGAAATAGTCATTTGAGAGAGTGGGAAAGAAAAGGGATGAGAAAATATGATTACTCAATAGGGGTGAAAGTCCACTTAATGGAAGTGGTCATGAGTTTGAAATTTGACCAGTGAGCACAGTTGTGAATTTCTATCTATGCACATGCCACCCCGGGGGTGAGGTAGAGAGGTTAGTTCATTAATGAACATGTATTGAATGTCTCCCTGGCACTTAGCATCGTGTTAGGTATGGGGAATACAGGGATGAACACAGTGTTCCCTGTCGCCTTCCTTAAGAAGACTTAGAACATGTGGCCTGGCAGGTCTGTGAACATCAAGCATAACGTGGTAAGTTCTAAGAGGGCTCTAAGCCTTGGAAGACTTGAGAGTATAAGAAAGCTTCTCATTTCAGTCCGGAGTTTCAGAGACGTTTTGGAGAGCCTGATGTCTGAAGGGAGTATGCATTTATGAGTTGTAGTAAAACAGTGACAGTAAAAGATTAGAAAATGTTCCATGTGAGAGTCACTGGGGGAATTAGAGTCCCTGGGCGAAGGAAGGGGAGGACGGGCCTCCATGGGGCACATCGTGGAGCCGTGACCCAGCATTGTGGGGGGAAGAAGAGTCACACCAATACTGTTAGAGTGGGAAGTAAGAGGACCAACAAATGGGCTCAAGTCCATGGAACCTCGGGGATGTGAAGGAGAACCCTGAAGAGACCTCTGACTTTAGGGGGATCCCCTGCGTGGCCATGCAGAGAGGGGACACAAGGTGGGGGCTGGAGGCAGAAGTCTCACCTGGGAGGCTGTAGCAGCTGATCAAGTGTGATATACTGGGCTTTATATCCAAAATTGGGATTATGGTCATAGGGATGGAGGAAACAGGGATAGATGTGAGATACACTTGTTAAGGGCTAAGTGATTTTTTAAATTTTATTTGTGGCGGTGGATACATTTTAGTTTTACTCCACTCCTTGACTACAGAAAAGTCCCCTAACCTGAGGCAGACATCTCAGAAATGTGTGTCGTTGGTTACAGAGGAGGCAGGGTGAAATCATATGAATAGATTGTCTATTAGCATCATTAGAATGCACACTATTTTGATGGAAGGTTAGTAGTCTTTGAATTAAAAAATAGCCTTTATGTTTATTCTGCATATATGAATTAAATTAATGTATGTGGTTTATTAAAAATTAAGATAATTGAATACAAAAATATATTTTATATTGTCTTATGTCTTAGGGAAAGTAGCATGTCCCAGTTTAACTTAGGGAGGCTCAGATGGTCAACGAAATGGTTGTACGTTTTAGGAGGAGTAATGCTCACGCCAAGGTAGATATTACTGCGGTGCAGAATATTGGATTGACTAGGGAAGACCTACACAGGTCTCCCTGCCTAGCCCTACTGCTGTGTCTTGAGTGGGATACTTCCCTTCTTCGTGGCTACCACGTGTAAATGGATGTCCTGCCGTATCTCTTAGGATTGCTGTAGGGACTGGAATATTAATGTATAAAAACACTTTAATAATTTTATAGTCAATGTATTCGTGCATTTATTTGTAAAAGGGCTGAAGATGGTTTATTGAAATTGATGCATCTCACCCTTGTCTCTCTCTCTTTTCCCCTACTTGGACAGTGTAAAGAACATGACCTGGCCATGATTAACCAGTTGCTGGATGATCCGAAGCTGACAGCCAGAAAATACAGGGAGTGGAAGGTCGTGAACACACTGCTGATCCAGGATATCTACCAGCAGCAGCGGGCCCCCGCGCCTGCCTCCGAAGGCTCCCCCCTGGGACCTGAGAAACCGCTTCCCTCTGCCTGCGTTGAAAATTCTATTTGAGACTAAGACGGGCTTCTCTCCCCTTCAGTTATCTCACCCCAAGCACCTCTTCAAGATACGCTGCAAGAGCTTAACGTTTTTCCTTAAAAAGGAAAACCGAAACCCAGCTCCTCCTGTAGAGATGTGATTGGGGTGAGAATAAACACCGTGGCGGCGGTGCCCGGTCCGGGGCTTCCATTCAGACCCGAGTGGTGGAGTCCAGCTGAACAAACAGTTTGTGTTCCTTTGGGGAGCTCTCAACTATGCTAGGTTCCAGGTGGGGTATGAGAACTGTATCCCCTGTTTCGTGCTCTCAAGAGAATTACAACATTCTACGGACAAAAGATCACTCTGTCCCAGAGATACTTATTCAACGAAATACTTTTGTTTTCCAAAGGAAGAAGGTACATATTCCTTCTGGTTGAGTAGCTGAGTTCCCCAAATCTTTTTTTTGTTTGTTGTTTTGAGTGGAAGAATGCTTTCTATAGCAGCACCTGGAGCAGGACAGATGTGGTATTGTGGAACCAAAATCCCTTGCCTTTGGTCCAGAATGGTGGTGCCTTTTCCACATGTTGAGAAATACTTCACAGCAAGTGGTGTGTTGGGAGCACCCATGGAGGAGGCATGTTCTCTATTCCACTCACTGAAAGGACAGCTTAATATTTTCACGGTTTATCCAGGTTGGGATGGGGGATCTGATTAATGTTTCCTTTCTGCAGAACAGCTGAACGAAACAGCTCTCATTACACTTGGAGACCTCTCCTCCCTCCTTGCTTTTCTAAACCACAGAGACAGACGTCCAGCGAAGAATGTTTACTGCCTTTGTCCTTTGGTGTGGTACCTATGCACGGTCTAAATGTATAGCCAGGTCCCCCAGGATCAGCATTGACAAGATGATTCTGGCATTTGAATTGTTTTAGTATCTTTACCCCCCCAAAAACCCAACAAAAACAACAAAAGAGTTAAATACGATTGTTTTATTTTTGTACGTTTATGTGTCACTTTGTGTCCTATGTGAATAGCTATGTATAACATTTGTTATTTAAGGATATTTATAGAAGCTTAAATGACTAGTGTTTAAAAGATGATATACTATTATATGTTTTGTTCAGTATATATTTCTAAGTATACACTTTGTGCTTGAGAAAAATAGGAAAACTACTTATTCATTGGAGTTACTATGTTGCACTATAATGTATGAGGAATGCTCAGGAAATCTTGTGGGATAAGTGTGGGGCATGCGTTAATAATCTTTACTTTCTGGCTTTTCCCTCTGCTTTCTCTCTTTCTCTCTCTCTCTCTCTCTCTCTCTCTCCTCTCCTCCCTTTCTCTCTCTTCTCTCTCTCTCTCTCTCTCTCTCCTCCTCTCCCCCCTATAAAGCTTAGATTTCTCAGTTGTAAACCACTCTCCTAACCAGAAAAAGACTTGCGTCCTACATTATCCCTTCTAGTAAATACATTTCAAGTTTTCTATCATTTATGCCCACATACCCTAAACCAACTGAAGCACGGTTATTGTAGTCTTTTGACGAAAGACCTGTAGAAATTTGGGGGTTTATTGTTAAAGAAAACTCACTTTATTAGAGGAACTATAGGGAGATCTTCACTTACTCATCACCATGCATACTTCTCACCGTTAGAACAACCACAACCCACTCCAAACCCATTTTGGCCTGACCCCTAGCAGATCGTCAACATAAAACTATTGGCTTTATAGTGTCAAAGTGTGTGGCTTGATGTTTAAATGGAAATAACCCCCTGAATTTTATCTGCAAACTAAAGAGGAAATAGTTGTTGAAATGTTCCTTAAGCTTTACTAAGAAGTCTTAATGCTTTGTAAACAAAAATCAACCTTAGCATTAAGATAGCAAACAAAAAAACAAAAAAGATAAAAAACCATACACACAACAAACAAACAAAATCAGGAAGCAAGTTGTAGTACTGGAAGCTTCTGGAAGATAAAGGTCATGCTGTTCAGTTTGGCCCAGGAAACATTTAAGTGGAGTGTGATGGGCACGGCTCAGACCATGCAGAGGGGGGACCTGGCCCTCCGTGAGTTTACTGTTGACACAGAGAGAAGTAACCGCTCGGGTCCTCAGATTGGACCCTGAGGCCTCTAGTTTGAGAGGCCAGTGCTTCCATCTTTTCACTCTGGAAATTATCACTGATTCTTCTTTCTGTAATTAGCAGCATCTGACTCTTCCTGAAATTAGCAGGTTGATTATTTAGGATTCACAATGACACAAAATGGGGCGAGGAAGAACAGTGATGGAGGAAATGGTAGGATGATAAGCGTTCTTCCACCTTTTACCCTTTGTTTTGCGTCACCCATCTATGAACTTCAAATTGGTTTTTGCCAAATTGCTCCAAAGCTGTTGGCCAGGGCTTGCAAATATATTCTAATGCTTTACTTTGACTTTTCATTAGTACACACTGAACTGACCTTTGAAAGTCCTTTAGTAACACTCAAATTTAAAGGCAAAATAGATCTGGAGATTACTTAATCCAGCCTTTCAGGCATTTTTCAAAGTCAAGTTGGTCTAGATGTTTCTGCTTTGTCAGTTAAAGCAGTTACTTCGCAGGAGCCTCAAATGGAAGTTAGGTGAACTGCATAATTTCACACCTTGCTCTTCGAGACCAGACCCACCTGCTGGGTCGTGACTTCCCTTCCGCTAATGCTGTCGCCCTGCGTTCTGCTGTGCTAGGGAGGGCGGCTGCTGCTGTGAGTCCCACCTTCGGCTGTGGCCGCCAGGGAGGGTGAGAAGTAACTCCAGTCAGTCTCTCTTAGCCTCAGGCCATTTTTCTGGACCATTGCTGTCTGTGCTGTGTCGTGTCTGGCACTTGAAGGGTGTCTGTTGAATTAATTAACAATTTATTTGATTGGTTGAATTAATTTTAATTAATTAATTAAATTCTTAGTTGTGCCGCAGTCTCAGCATAGTGCCCAGCGCCACCTAGGAAAGGCTCCAAGCTCCAAGGGCGCCATTTGCAAAGACTCCGGGAAGCCAGCTGAAGGGAGAGGGCGCGCCGAGCGGGCTTGCCAGGGGAACCGATGAGGATGCCTTATGCTTACGTAGCACTTTGTAGTTTGCAGATGGGTGTGTTTCAGGCTCGCCCTCCCCCTCCCCTGGGGTCTTCGTAACACTGGGGATGGTTGTGGGGAGTGCACCACGTGGTGGGGCCCAGACGTGAGCTTCAGTCTCCCTCCTCTCTCCCCCTCTGCCCTGTGCAGTGGCTGTGGGGGACCCAGCAGTTGAAATCTGATGGTACCTGGTACCGGTCGTCACCCTGAAATCGGCACAAGGCCAAGGCTGCTTTTGGGAGGTCATTGGCTGGAAACCCAAGGGGCCTCTTTTCCTTGAGTACAGTCTCTTCCTCATGGCCTGAAAGGTTCCTGTCCCCCGCTGGGCTGGCTGTGGACAGGGTTTAACGTGATCACCCCTGCTTCTCTTCTGTGACGTTCACTGCTTGCCAGGGGCTGTGAGATCCTTGGATGAAAGGGATCCACTTTAAGACGTGGAGTGCATTTATTTTGTTTTCCTTCTAAAACGTCTCAGGAGATGCCAGAGACCAGGCTTAGTGACTAAGGGTTAGACCCTCAAATTCCTCTCTTAATTCCTGCTCATTTAATTCTGCTAGTTTCCTAAGAGCCTCTAAGTCACAGACAATGTCACAGAGATGAAACAGTACTTCTAAGTCATTTGAGGAGAGGTGTTATAACAAATTGCAGCCTTTTAAAATTCACAGACACATACCTCTGTGTGGTAGGCTCACTGAAAGGTAGTATTTAGTGAGTCATCAGGAGGTTGAGTGAGTACGTGCAGAGGATGGCTATCCGACAGTCACTGGACGTTAAAAAGCTGCCTTATCCAATTGAAGTTTTCAGGTATATCTTTTCTTCGGTTCAACAGAATATGATATTTGATTGGGGTTTTCCAATTTATTACCCTTCCAACTTTTCGTATACTGGCCTCCCCAGAGACATGGAGCCCCAGAAATCTGCCCTGCCCAGGGTTCTGTAATATGTAACTGAAAATGAAAACCCCAGAAACTAGATTTTATCAACCGTACGAAGTCGACTGGTGGGGAGCGAGAGTCCCACCCCGTGCAGAGAGCTGCCCGTCTCAGTGAACAAGATAATGAGCTACAAGTTTCTCCACATTGTGAGACAGGAAGCAATTTTGTCGCCCCCTCTGCACATCTTTACTCTTCCTCATACCACCGCAGACCACAGAGAAAACGAACGGCAACAAAAAATGGATGCTACGTGAAAAAAAAAATAAAACAACCCAAAAACCTGTTCTCTTGTTTCTCTTGCTGTGAGAAGACTTCACTGCTCTGTGTTGACATTTCTTTGCCTTGAGTCCAAAGGGAAAGCATGCCCCATGGAGACATTTAGCATCTCATAATTGCGCCCAGGATTTTAAACCGCCATGTATTTAATGTCCTTGCATGATGGGGGTGTGACTTTTAGCCCTGCATGGTGTGTAGGGGCAAGATGTGAATGTGGAAACGGTACCTTCGATCTCACTGTGCTTTCGTTTTCTGTCACCTGCCGTCTTTGACCAAACTGATGAAAAGCAGCACAGCTCATTTCTCCTGCTTTATGTGTTTGAGGTTGACGTGTCAGATAAAAATAAAAACAAGGGAAAATATATCTAGCAAATGACATAGAAAAAAATGGTAAATGTCCTACTGGTGTTGATTTTCTGCCCTGAAGTGTTGCTTCCTCAAAATAAAATCACCCTGGAAAGTGTTGAATGCCTAGGCTATTATCTTCTACAAAGGTTATCGCGCCCTCTGGTGGCGGTCACAAAATAATTTATTCTAGATCGATGTCTTAGTGAAAGATTGAATTATGTTGGGAAATCTACTTCAGCAATAACTGATGTGGTCTTCTCAGGTTACAAGATTCTTAGTCCAGAGATACTTATATTTTTCAAAATGGTTGGTGCACAAAATTTGACTTGCCATGAGTAGGCACCCACATTTGGTTTAGAGACTTAAAACGTTGCAGATTGTAAAAGTTACAACCAGTAGCACGGGAGTTCCTTAAAGTGCATAAAGTATCTCTGTGAAAAAGGAACAAATAAAATATTGAAATAGCATAAAAACTTGCTCTTATTCTGGATCCACTGATGAGAGGGAGTTAGCCTGCTCTGAACTTCACACCCCCTTGATTGCTGTCTACATGAAGCCTTATTTTTTTTCCCTTTCTCTCCCAATTTTCACTTTACATGCTGAGGCTCATCCTCTTTTTCCTCCATCTGCCAACACCAAATACGTCTAGGCTCCCACGTGCAAGCAGTAAAAGGGGTTAGCCAACGGCACTGAGGCAGCATGCTCTAGAACAATCTTGCATTAGTTTCTATTGGTGCTGTAAAAAATCACCATAAATGTAGCAGCTTAAAAAATGTGTTTCCTTACAGTTGCAGAGGTCAGAAGTCTGACACCTGTTTCTTTGAGCTACAATCAAGGTGTTGGCAGAATTGTGTTCCTCCGGGAGCCTCCAAGGAAGAAGCCATTCCCTTGCCCTCTCCAGGCCGCCCACATTCTTTGCTTCTCGGTTCTCATCCTCCGTCTTCGAAGTCAGCAACGTTGTATCTATCTCCCTACACCTTTTCTTTCTAGTCATACTTTCCCTGGACGGACTCTTTAAAGGACACTTGTGATTACCCTGGGTCCACCTGGATAATCCAGGAGACTGTTTTAACAGCCAAAATTCTGCAGCCTTAATTTCTCTTTGTAGCGTATATGTCGGTTCCACTGATTAGCACATGGCCACATCACTCTGCCTACTGCAAAGCTCCATTTCAAATATCCTGCTTAGTCCTCCTGAACCATCAATTTCTTCCAGAAATTCTGGGATGTCTAAGTTTTAATGACAAGCATAAAAGTTCCTTGTTATCCCATATGGCTTGAATTTGATTTCATCAAAATTTGTTCACCATAGGAAAAGTAATTCCACCTGTATAATGATAAAAGGGAAAAAAAATTCTAGCTTCCACAAAATCACACTTACACAGGTGAAACAGGTACAATAGTTTAACAATCAGATCAGGTTTAACAATACCTGCATTTAATGACAGGTACTGCTAAAGTCATTTTAGAAAGTCACTTTTGAGAATCAAGTATCATGAACCAGAGGATAATTTAGGCTTTGAAATCGTAGGTTTAGGAGCTGCTGGGTGCCATGTCAGACTGACTGAGGGGTCTGGCCAGGCTGCAACTTTCTCTCCCGTGAAAGAGTCCCAGAGAGTCTTGTATGTGCATAAGGGTGTTTAAATGTACCGCTTGGCATGGTGTT